CCGAGCACTTGGCCACATATTAGGAGAACAGAAGGACTCTATTTCCCTCAGAAATCACCTTACAAGTGGTCTGAAGAATGGTTGGAAAATGTGCCAGTTGATCATTTTTCATTCGGTAACAGGGATAGTTTTAAATTAAGGTAAGCTGCAATCCTTTTTGCCCGTATTTTCAACAAATTGTACACTCAAGAGTTTGCCCAAAACTGGAACCTTTTCGTTCACATCTAACGGCACTCCGCGATTCGGGATGGGTCCCCGCGAAAAATGAGCATTTCACTATTTGTGTTCAGATATTTCATCAACACTGATAGCTATGAAGAAGGTGGCCCGATATTTTTCTACACCGGCAATGAGGGTAAATTAGAAGGATTTGCTCAGAATACGGTAAACCTCTCATTGATGAGATAAGGAGGAAACCCGAAAACAACATAGACTTGTTTAGGGCTTCATGTGGGATATAGCTCCCGAGTTCAAAGCTGCAGTGGTATTTGCCGAACATCGTTTTTATGGGAAAACACAACCGTATGGTGAAAAGAGTTACAATACAACGGAACATCTCGGATATCTAAGTTCAGAACAAGCTTTGGCAGATTTTGTGCTACTGATTGATTATCTAAAGCAACAGGTGTTGTATGAATATGCAGTGTCTTAGATAATCGACACAAAACAAATGCTTTAGAGGCTAAAAGGTGCGGAAAACTCGGCAGTGATAGCATTTGGAGGATCGTACGGTGGTATGTTATCGGCATGGATTCGAACTAAGTATCCACATAAGGTTGATGGGTATGTAGATAAACTAAGTTTTGTTTCACAGTCCAAATTATGAAATTTTAGGGCTATTGCAGCTTCAGCTCCGGTTTTCTGGTTTATAGATTCAGATGTACCAGAAGACATATATGACAAAGTATGTATACGGGCCATCAGTTTTTTAGCCTTTTTAAGTGTTTGAGCAATGCGCTGCTAGTGTGGTCGCCCTCCCTTAAATTCGAATGAGCGATTGCTATGAATTAATGAAGAGCATAAATTCTCATTTAGATTGTTACCCGATCTTTTATCAATGCTGGCTGCAATCGTAAGGCCGTTGAGAAGGG